AAAATAGTGGGAGCATATTAAGATAAAAGTCGATATCTTGATAGTTTATTTCTTGCAAAATCTGCATGTTATTCATTTCTGCTACATCTTTATTTTTAGAAAATGTCACTTTCAAATCCCTTACGTGGCATACTTGATGTCAACCGCCTCACTAGTCCAAATTATACGGATTGACTCCGTAACTTGAGAATTGTTCTCACAGCGGAGAAAATTATGTACGTCCTTGATACAGTGATGTCTGCGCTCGAAGAAGGGGCAAGCGAGGATGAGATCACTCGTTATGTGAAGTACATTGATGACTCCACTCTTGCTCAGTGCTATATGTTGGGCTCTATGACTCCTGAGTTACAGAGGCAACATGAAAAGATGGATGTCAGATCCATTCTCCTACATGTCCGCAAATTGTTTAAGGAACAGGGAAGGACTCAGCAATATGAGATATCCAAGAGCCTCTTCCGCGCTAGGATGACTGAGGGGACACCGGTTCAGAACCATGTCCTAAAGATGATTGAGTGGATAGAAAAACTTACATGTCTAGAAATGGTCCTAAAGGATAACTTGTGTGTGGACATTGTGCTTCAGTCCCTACCAGATTCCTTTTCACAGTTCATAATGAATTTTAATATGAACAAGCTTGAGGTGACTCTCCTAGAGCTCCTCAATATGTTGAGGGAGGTAGAGAGTACTATTAAGAAAGAGAAGCCAGTTCTCTACACTGGTGAGACCAGAAAGAAAAGGAAAGCAGAAAGGTCCCTTAAGAAGAGAAAGGGCAAGGGCAGACCAGGTAAAGCAAAGGTTGCTAAGAAAGACCCAATAAAGGATAAAGGCCAGTGCTTCCATTTTTGTAAAGATGGGCACTGGAAGAGGAACTGCAAAGAGTACCTTGCAGAGAGGGCGAAATAGAAGCTTGGAGAAGCTTCAGGTACATTCATGATCAATCTCCAATTGTCAGATTTTTGTGATAGTGCATTGGTATTGGATACCAGTATTGCTTATCACATCTACAATTTATAGTCGGCTACCGACTATGCTTTGATGGCCGTCCTCGGCACGTAACATATGTCGAACTCTCCAAGCTCTACCGACCACTTGAGGAGCCGACCTGCAATGTTGAATTTAGATAAAACCTGTCTGAGTGGTTGGTCGGTGATTACCTCAATCAGGTGGGCTTGGAAATAGGGGCGCAGCTTCCGGGCCGCAAGTACGAGCGCCAGAGCAAGTCTCTCAATTGGCGGGTATCGCTCCTTAGGCCCATTCAGGATATGGCTGATGTAGTAGACCGGTAGTTGCTCACCGGGGGCTTCTTAGATCAAGACGGAGCTGATTGCGTGCTGGGAGGTAGCCAAGTAAATACTGAGTTTTTCCTCAAAAGAGACCGAGGCAAGGCGAGGGAGGTTGGCCAAGTGTTGTTTGACTTGTCTGAAAGCTTCTTCACACTACGTCGTCCATTGGAAGTCCTTCGGGTTCTTCAGCGCCCGAAAGAAGGGGAGGCAACGATCACCCGATCGGGATAGAAATTGGGACAAGGCAGAGAGCCTTCCGTTCAGTCGCTGCAAGTCCTTGATCGTCCGAGGGGTTTGCATATCGATGATCGCCTGGACCTTTTCGGGGTTGACGTCGATTCCTCTTTCGTGTATGATGAATCCAAGGAACTTTCCCGAGTTGACACCGAAAACACACTTTGCCGGGTTGAGTCGCAGACCATACCTCCGCAGCGTGGCAAATGTTTCGGTCAAGTCGATCATGTGATCTGCTGTCGCACGGCTCTTCACGATCATGTCGTCAACATAAACCTCGACGTTCCACCCGACCTGTTGGGCAAACATCCTGTTCACGGCTCTCTGATAGGTAGCACATGCGTTCTTCAGCCTGAACGGCATTACTTTGTAGAAATACACTCCTAGATCAGTGAGGAAGGTCGTGTGCTCTTGGTCCTCGGGCGCCATTTTGATCTGGTTGTAGCCGGAGAAGGCGTCCATGAATGAAAGGCGGGCATGCCCGGCAGTTACGTCGACCAGCTGGTCGATCCTCGGGAGGGGATAGCAGTCCTTTGGGCATGCACGATTGAGACTGGTGTAGTCAACACACATCCTCCAGCTCCCATTAGATTTCTTCACCAGAACTACATTAGACAGCCATCGCGGGTACTTGACTTCCTCTATGAAGCCAACTGCCAAGAGTCGCTCCACCTCTTCACGGACGGCCTGTTGTCTGTCTGGAGCTTGGCGTCGTGGTTTCTGCTTCACTAGCCGGGCATCGGGTGATATGTTCATGTGATGCTGGGCGGTCTTTGGGTCGACGCCCGTCATGTCAGATGGCGACCAAGCGAAGACATCGGCGTTCTCCTGCAAGAAGCCGACGAGCTACTCCCGCTCTTGCTCGGGGAGTTCCAATCTGACTTTGATCGTCCTGTCCGACTGATCTTTCATCAACAGTATGTCACAAGTGGGTGCCGTCGGCTCAGGATGTGGGGTCGGCCGCTTCGTCTCCCTTGGGTCCTCTAGGGGTCGGTCAGTCTTTGCCCTTTTGTGTAGCGAAATCGTCGTCAGGTAGCATTGTATGGACTCACGAGGGCTCCCCCAGACCTCCCCTATCCCCGCATGGGTCGGAAACTTCACCGTCTGGTGGTAGGTGGAGACTACGACTCTAATCTTGTTGAGGGTGGGGCGATCGAGGATGGCATTGCATGCCGTAGGGAGATCGACCACTAAGAAGGTGGACATCACCATCTTTGTTCTGGGAGGTGCTCCCAGAGTCAGGGGCAAGGTGACAGCTCCCAACGGTGAGATCGAGTCGCCGGTGAACCCTGTGAGTGCCGAGCAGATAGGCTCCAAGGGCACTTTGGCTAACCCAAGTTTCTGGAAAGCGTCAAGGTAGAGCACATCGGTTGAGCTCCCCGTGTCGATCATGATTCTCCTCACCTGGGCATTGGCGATTCGAGTCGTTATCACGAGCGCATCGTCATGCTCTGGTCGCTCAGCGCCCTCGGGAGGGAACGCGACCTCGGGGTCAGGGTTGTGTCGAGGAGCATCGGCCCTAGCGGAACAGGCATATGCCTTCCTTCCGGACATACTGACCCCACCGGATGCTGAGCTGCCCGTGATGACGTCGATGTGACGCTCAACGGAGCCCTCCGAATGGGGCGAGGGTTCCCTATTCTGTCGGATGTACCGACTGAGGTGTCCTCTGCGGACGAGCTCCTCGATTTGCGGCTTCAGCTCGCGGCACTCCTTAGTATCGTGCCCGCTTTACCGGTGAAAGCAGCAACACTTGGATTGGTCAGCGAGTTCCCACGGGTTCTTCATCGGGACGGGGGGCCTTAGCAGCCCTTTTTCCCTTATTTGGAGAAATATCTCTGTTCGGGATGCGCCCAAAGAGGGCAACGAGGTCCTCAGCGCCAGCGGGTCAGGCCGGTCCACCCTGCACCTCAGCGTGGTGGACGGTTGTCCCCGGGCCGGCTCCGGCCTAGCTCGCTTGTGCTCCTCCCGCTTCCCGGCCATCCAGGCCTCGGCCGCGATGAACTGGTTCACGCGTTGAAGCATCTCAGGCACTACAGAGGGGGGTCGCTCCACGAGGGACCAGAAGAACCTGGAAGGACGCAGGCCTATCATAAACTCCTGCATCAATAGAGAAGGATGAGCGTCCGGTAATCCCCGGATCTGTGTTGCAAAATGATTCACAAAATGGGAGAGGGGCTCGTCCTCCCTCTGGTTGAGTCCGAGGAGAAGTGCAATGGAAGGTTTTGGCCGTGCGTAGGCCAAGAAGTTGAGCTTGAAGTCCTTGACGAGCTGGTCGACGGAAGCGATCGTTCCAGTCTTCAGGCCACCGTACCACGCGCGGGCCGACCCTCTCAGAGTGGTGGGAAATGCTCTACACATTAGAGCATCAGAGGTTCCGTACAGCGTCATCTGGGCGCGGAAAGCGACTACATGGTCCGCTGGGTCGGTGGAGCCGTCGTAAGCATCCAGGGAGGGAAGTCAAAAGTTTAGGGGGACTGTCTGATCCTGAATCTCGGGTGTAAACGGAGATCCCTGGTGTGCGTCCTCCCCGAGCTCTCCCTTTGACCTGCGAACCTCCTTCTGCACCTCGTCGAGTCACTGACTAACGGAGCGCAATTGGGCTCGCAGGGAATCCATAGAATCTGAAGATAATGCCTCGGGTTCCGGGTGGCCCCTTGGGTTTGGCGTCACTCGATCCCCGAGTGGGGCCGATGGGACCCGAGGCGAAGCGGGGAGCTCCCGAGGTGGCGTGCGAGCCTGAATGGGTGGCTCCTATTGCCGCAGTGGTTGGACGGCCTACGGGTGCAGCAGACGAGAAACAAGTGGAATAATGGATTGCACCATACCGGTCAGAGTTCGGACTTGATGGGTGAGGTCGTGAAAGGCCTCGGACGACACGGGCGACGGGTCGGTGGGGGTGCCGTCGGGCGGCGACAAGCCCGGGTCATTGAATATCCAGCAATAGCGCTCTGAGGTCGTGGCGGGGTGTTCGTCATGAAGATCTCCGCGTGGGGGATGTTCCCCCGAAGCCCCAATCGGGTGTGACCTCTCAGCCGTAGGCTCGTCTGAGCCAATCGGGTGATCTCTCGACATTAGGCCCTCCTTCTAGCGCCAAAATGTTGGTATAAACAACTTTAAGCCGTGGCCTTGGGGCCGACGCAGCTTGGTTCGGGTCCGGATAATGGGGGATCTCCCTGGGACGTTGCTCGAGACTGCTGAGGTGGCCGATCACGATGTTCCGATCGTGACGGGGTCGCTATTCCCTCTGGAAAAGAACTTCTCGCCTGTGCATTTAGTGGGTGACCTCCGCCTTCGCACCTGCACAAAGGTCGGGTCGGGGAGCTCGGCCCGACCCCTTCGACGATCAAATTAGTGGATAGTCGCAGGGGGTTTCTTTAGCTAAGTTGTGTCTTCTTGTGTGCCTTTCGTCTCTCCCTCTCCCATTTTCCTCGGAGCGCGAGGGTTTTTATAGTGAGAATTACCGTTGCCTGATGTGCCTGCCCGCAGGGAGTAGGATCGTACTTCTGGTAGCATCTGACATCGTCGTTGGTGTGGCGTGGGGGATCGAGCCTGAGTAGGGCGTTAATGTGCCTTGGTAGGCGTTCCGGTCCGCTTTGACTAGGTGCCTCATCAGGTCGACAGAGGTGTGAGGCGTCATCTGAGGCAGCTAATGTCACGCGAGTCTTATCGCAATTATTACCCTCATCAACACACATAGTATTAGAAATGGACAATGTTATCAACTCAACATAAGAATTGGTTGATATGAATTGGCAAAGGGTACATAATAATGAGAAAAGAATCATATAGTTTTGGCAATCCATAAAGTTATCAGCTTAACGTAGGAACCCATCTTGATATGAATCGAGAAAATATAAAGAATATTGGAAAAAAAATCATATAATTTTAGCAATCCATAAGGTTATCTGCTTAATGTAGGAACTTATTTGGACACACTGTAACAGTACTGTAAAGAATGGAATGGGATGAAATCAATTTACAGGAAGCGGCCTTGATTGTGATCACAAAGACGCCATTGCTAAACATGGATTGGATGAGCTAATGCATATCAGGGTTTGGTTCGGTTCCTTTTTATTGGAGATATAGCAATCGCTTTCTTGATTGTGAGCACAAATGACAATTATTCATCCAGACATCCAAATACATGCATCATTTGGTTTTATTTGTAGCTATTATTTATAGTTATAGACAACCAAACATATCAAGAACCCTTTTTCTGAACAAATATAACAAAGAAAAACTAGCTTATGCCTTTTTATAATTAAGCTAATCTGAAAATTCCTACTTTTTTGGTCCTTTTTGCCCTCATAATTTGTTTAGTGATTGCAATTATAGTCAATATAGCAATTAATCACCAACTAAATACGTAGTCTTAAAATAATTGCTGTATTTGTTTCTTTGACTGTAATTTCAATCATTAGTTAGGATTTTTTTTAATTAGTAACAGTGTTAATTAGTTAAACTTAACATTTTAGACTTTTCTTGTATCAACTAAAGATTTAGTCTCTCTTTTTCCTAATTTTTTGTGTTTTAATATGATTATATATATATATATATATATATATATATATATATATATATATATATATATATATATATATATATATATATATATATATATATATATATATATATATATA